ACACACACACACACACACATACTCACACAACCCTGGCTGAGAGCGATACAACGTCAAAGCAGAAAAAACGAAATACCTGATAAAAATTCTTGCTTACTCTGGAATCGAACACGGGTCTTCTACGTGAGACAACGAAGTGCCTACCGCTGTACCACAGACACAGGTTGTCTTTTGTAGATAACATATTACATTATGTGGGTATGAGTGTATGTATTTGAGTGTGTGCGTATGGCGTATGCGTGTGTACGTGTGTTTAGTTACATGTTTAAAACTCTCTGTATTTTGCAACACTCAGATAGTATCGTTGCTTTGCTTTTAAACACGCTGAGGATACTATGGTTATTAATGTAGTATGTTCCTATTTCCCATTCACCACAACAGGATAAAGCACGAGAGAAAATTAATAAGAAATTTTAAAAAGAAATTAGATACCTCTCCCTCGTAGTACTCTTATAATTTTTTCTACTCTTTTTATTCAGATATCAGTGGAAGAATTTGCAGTCAGATGTTCGGGTGCACTTATTTCTTTCTTGCTTTTTTCTGTTGAGTCTCCTCATTGACCAGGACAAATAACGTCCATCTTTTTCTATCTATGGGCAACTGAAACTGATATGAAAATATAATGCCACATGACGTTGCATTGCAGCGGCGCCCGCTCCGCTCTGCTCGCAGTGTGGCCACCCAATGTTAACGCCTCAAACAGCCTCGCTCTGCTTGCAGTGTGGCCACCCAATGTTCATGCCTCAAACAGCTGCGCTCTGCTGTGCCCGCTCTGCTCGCAGTGTGGCCAGAACCTTAGGCTCGGGCCACACTGCAAACAGAGCGGGCACAGCAGAGCGCAGCAGTGAAAATTATTACAAAGACAAAGAGGCGACTAGCTGCGCGACTCTTTGTCTTTGTAATAATTTTCACTGCTGCGCTCTGCTGTGCCCGCTCTGTTGTGCCCGCTCTGCTTGCAGTTTGGCCAGAGCCTTAGGCGATATAAGCGCGCGGGACGCATTTTAAGTTGGGTAGGAACTGATTTTGAATGGCGGCCGAAGCCTACTCTTTTCTCATTAATTACAAGGGAGGGATTGGGATTGAGATAGTGAGACAGGAGATTTGCAATGCTCAATGATAGATCATCATCATCATCCAGTGTCAGATCTGTGACAGACATCGGCGATCATGGTTCTCCATTCATTCCTTTGCTCGGATGCTCTAAAAAAAGCCACGTTTCCCCTTATCTTTCCTTGTTACCCATTTGTTTAGGTTCACTAAGTAGATTGCCCTGGGTCTACCCCTGCTTCGTTTGCCTTCGACATTGCCTGTGAGAGCTAGATGTTCAAGACCCTTATGTCTATTCATTCAGGTGTGCAGAAAACTGCCTAATCTATTGTTTCCTAATGGTTTTTAACATTGAGCGTCCCCCGTGGGCTTTATCAAGCACTACCTCATTTGATTTCTTTTCCTTCCACGATATTCTCAGCAGTCTCCTAAGAAACCACATTTCTGTTGCTTCGATTTTCTTTTCACTGTCTTTAGTGATTGTCCAGCATTCATAGCCTTATAGAAGGGTTGGCCATACATAGCATTTCAGACCTTTTATTTTGGTAGTCAATCGGGATGTTTCTAATGTTTAAGCTTGGGCTCATTTTATTGAAACTAGCCTTAGCCATTGCAATTCTCCGTTTTATTTCTGTGGAACATTTGGCATCAGATGTTATTATAATTATACCCTAGATATTTAAACTGTAGGACTTGTTTGATCTTTTTGACTTTGCTTATGAGATTACGAGAAGGACTTGCTGCTATTTTGGATATGACGATGCATTCTGTTTTCTTTACATTCAACAAACGTCCTTACGCTCACTTTCTATTACAACAGTATTTAGAAGCGATTGAAGGTCCTTTTCCGAGCCTCCTATCCCAAAGTGGGAGATAAGTATCCTTCAGTCAGTCACTTCCTGAACCTAAACAGAGGTACGCAGGAGGAAAACAAATCAGTGGCGTGTAACCTTCTCAGAGAGTGTTTATTTCAACGCCGGTTTTTCTGCCCAGATCTCTGACATGGGATTTATAACGGTCTGTCGGGTGTTTAGAGAGACCACTACCCCATCATGGCGTCGTCTGCGAACAACCAGGAAGAGCTGGGACCCGTCGCGGTATGTATTTGTGGTACGACGTGGTGGAATCAGGCGCTCGTCAATTTTGGTGCATAATATAGTTAATGGTATCATCCTAAAGCTGGTTCATTTGTCTTGTAAAAGAGATCTTCGTACTGGAAGTATTCTAAAAATGTGAAGAATACAACCCCGGATGTACAAAAATGACCCCATGGCGTATGGATAGGGTTAAGGACAAGCGGGCTAATCCAGATTTCAGGGGTTTCCAGAAATCTTGACCTTCACCAAAGGTGGGCATTGCCCTACCTGTAGGAGAAGTTTGGTTTCATTGATGTGTATTTTGGTTATTTAAAAAAATCCCCTTGTCTTCCAAAAACTTTACGACGATTTTCTTAAAACAACATTTTTCGTGATAGCCCCCTTGTGCTTAAAAGCGATCAATTACAAAGTTATATCTGCTCACACCTATTTTTGAGAAATATATTTTTTTAGTTTCACACCATGTCGAGCTTTTTAGAACGCAATTTTTTAAATATCTTGATAACGACTCTGAATATTCTTACGATTTTGATAGAACGGATAGAGCATTAATTTGTTTTCTGACCTCATGGTATTAGTAGCTGAAAACGCCCAAAATGTCAGATAAAACTTTGTAATTCTGAGGTAAAGATACAGCGACTCACTTCGCCCGGGGCAATTTGTCACTCAAGTGCTTTAAGATCTATTCTGCGGAAGTAGGAGAGGAAATAGGGAAATATTGGTAACTTATAAAAATGTTCAGAAATCTTTCTAACGTATACTCCAAAGTTTCGTCAACTTACTGTGGGGGAGGGGGGAGTCCATTGACTTTGGGCGGATTTAAAAAAGAAAATTTTAAGATAGGTCAAAATCCATTCGTATTTCCACAGTCCATATGGGTTATACATTTGTGTGCCAAATTTCAGGCTGAAATTTTTCCAGCATTTTCTATGAAATTCATCCGCACTGAGAAACTGGTTTGAAAATCCAAGATGGCCGCCACAGAGACCCTCTTTTCAGAAAAAGTCAACAAATTCACCCTTAGTGCATCCTATTTACCTATGTACCTATGAACGTCTTGCACAGTTTCATGAAAGTGAATGGAAGGCGTTCATTTAGAACATTTTTCCGTGAGTGTGCGTCTCCCCTTTTATCAGTTCCCCTTTCTAGTAAGAATGTTCTTTTGGGCCGACTCCGACCTGTGGAAAATGTGTTACGACGTGGAGGAATCAACCGCTCGTCAAGGTTTGGGCATGTGGAGTTATTGGTATCGCCTTAAAGCCTTTTCATTTTACCTTGCTTTTGATGAACGAAGTATAATAATAATAATTATTATTATTATTATTATTATTATTATTATTATTATTATTATTATTATTATTATTATTATTATTATTATTATTATTATTATTATCATTATTATTATTATATTATAATAATAATTATTATTATTATTATTATTATTATTATTATTATTATTATTATTATTATTATTTTTATTATTATTATTATAATGAAGATCATTTCTATAGCGCCCACTCCCGGGTAGACACAGCTCTAGGCGCGTATGTAAGTGGAGATATTTGCGATTGAAGGAGGTAGGGGTAGCTCATCAAAATGGGTGTTGTTCTAAATTATAAATTAGCTCATCAAAATGGGTGTTGTTCTAAATTAGATAGAAAACTATTTGTGCAGTGGAAAGTAAACCACGTTTGTACATGATGGCTGAAGTTGGCTATTGCAATCGGACATAAAAAACAAGATGCAATCTAGATCTTGTACGGGTCGAATGGAGAAACATTTACGCACACAAAAAAATAGAATTTAACTTCGTAATCGGGCATTAAATTGCGTTCCCCGCTTGATTTTTGCTAATTTTGGGTCGCTGATTATGAAAATCTTTTTTTTTATTTGGACAATATTCAGGAAATTCTTAGAATGCATTTTTAACTCCGCCGTGGGCATCAACAAAGATACCGCCTTATGGGCCAGATCAGTCCTGTCCTTGTGCGGTATCTGTTTGACACGCTAAAATTCTACGGTGGGACAGCACAGTCCTGTCCAAGACAGGAATATCGTAGTGCGGTTCTAGTACTAGCCTTAACGTGTGCAGCTTGCACACAGGACCTCCGAGAATGCTAGGTGTAGATCTTCCTTACCAGAAGGTCAGGGGTGTGGCTGAAAGACAGCAGTAAGAAGGAGTCAAGGAGAAGCAGTAGAAAGACTGCAGAAAGAGTCAGGAGCCCAGAGGAGGGAGGCAAAGGAGGTGAAGGGGCGGGGGCAGAAAGTGGAGACGAAAGCGAACGACAGAATATTATTGCAAGAGAGCAGGAAAGGGGGTGAAAGGAGACAATTTTAGAGGAGAAAATATTTGTCGGTCGCTACCCGGATTCGGACCTTGGACTTTTGAAGGAAAGGCCGACACCTTAACCTCGAGGCCACAGACAGCCCCCTCAGACATTTATGTTGGTAAACCTCTGACACTGTACTTCCGGACTTCCGACCCTTCTATGTCGTTCTTGTGCTGTAGGGCGATACGATACTTTGAAACCTCTATGGCGTGATATAATACTTTGAACTTTGTGTGTGTGTGGGGGGGGGGGGGGGGTCTGTCACGGTCACTGATCTCATAATCCACGCAGATTTGTATGGGGCGCTGTTTGACGGAGACCCTCGTCAGGTGCCTCCAATTTTCACTGGGGTTGTTGTTTTTTTGCAAGCGCCTGAGTTTGGGCGAAGGATTTCCCTGTCCACTCCGCAATGTTGTCAGTCCACCTCTTTCTTTGCCTTCCTCTCTTTCTCCTCCCCTGCACAGTTCCTCCCTGAAGAATTGTCTTGGATAGGCCTCAAGAACTTGTTACATGGCCATACTTTTTTAATTTTCTTCGCTTCACAGTAGACAACAGGTTTAAATAGTGGCTCATGTGTTGTTTCCCTCTACTGTGCACTTCCTCATTTGTGACATAGTCAGTGGGGTATTTTTTTATTATTTTTTTTGGTGGGGGGGCCTGCTGTTGTTGTTGTTGGTTTTTTGGTAAGTGTCTTACGGCGCTCGCAACTGCATAAGGTCATATGAGCGCGCGGGACACATTAAATATGTTTATGTGGGTAGGAATTTTTGAATTTTGCCCGGGTGGCGGCCGAAGCCTACTCTTGTCGATCTTTAACGTGCGAAACTTGCACACGGGCCCTCCGAGATTTTTCGCCCTTTCCCGAAAAGACTAGGTGTAGACTTTTCCTACCAGAAGATCAGGGGTGTTGATGAAATACAGCAGTAAGAAGGAGCCAAACAGTAGCAATAGAAAGGCTGCAGAAAGAGTCAGGAGCCCTGAGGAGAGGGCAAAGGAAGTGAGGGGGTGGGGGCAGAAAGTGGAAACGAAAGCAGACGACAGAACATTGTTAGAGAGCACGAAAGGAGGTGAAAGGAGACAATTTTAGAGAAGAAAATGTTCCAGTCGCTACACGGATTCGAACCCAGGACCTTTGAATGAGAGGCGAACACCTAAACCTCTAGGCAACGAGAGCCCCCGGTCAGTGTATGGTATGAGATGCCAAAGAGTCGTCTAAAGCATCTCATTTCGGCTGTGGGGCGATACGATTCTTTTGTTTTTTGTGGCGTAATACGATACTTTGACGTTTCTGTAAGGAGAGACGACACTTTGAAACCTCTGTGATGAAGATGAAGCTGAAGGGGTGCTTAAATATGGTAACTTTTACCGCTCTAGAAGGGAGAGAAGAGGAAATATTGCCACGCTATACTGTACCGGGTGGAGATATGACCAAACGTTTCTGCAATGTGCACTAGGCATTACAAGCTTTCTTTAGAAAAAACAACAGCAACAAAGAAACACCCCAAAAAATAAACCCAAATAGCAGCCAAATAACGGCAATTGTCATTTCAAATCGTACATTTAGTTTTTTGTTCTTGTTTGTGTGTGTATGAGTGTGTTTGTGTGTGTGCGTGCGTGTGTGTGTGTGTGTGTGTGTGTGTGTGTGTGTGTGCGCGCGTGTGTGTGTGTGTGCGTGTGTGTGTTTTAATTAATTAATTGAGTTTCCCTTTTTTAGAAAAGCACAATTTCATCAATATCTTCTGAAATCGTAAATTCATGTTTTTAAAACTTTTCTTATTTTGAGCAGAAATTCTTTGGCCGTTCGGAGCCGTTCTACGACACGGCTGGCATGAAGGATGAGTCTGGGAACCCCATCACTCTGACCCTGGTGGACGGGAAGCTGTACACGCCAGTAGGAGAGGGCTGTGTGCGGGGGGCCAGGTCTACGAGGCTCAGGCCTGACGATGTCCTACTCTGTGGCTTTTGCAAAACTGGTGAGGGGTTTTCGTGTTTTGTTTTAGTAAGCAATGGCTAAGGCTAGTATAAAATGAGACCAATCCTGAAAAATAGAAAAGTCTTGATGACTACCAAAATGAAAATTCTGAAATGCTATTTATGGTCAACCCTTCTATATGGCTGTGAATGCTGGACAATCACTTAAGACAGTGATAATAAAATAGAAGCAACAGAAATGTGGTTTCTTAGGAGACTGCTAAGAATATCGTGGAAGGAAAAGAAATCAAATTAGGTAGTGCTTAATGAAGCCCACGTGGGACGTTAACAGTTAAAAACAATCAGGAAACGACAAATTATGCAGTTTTTGGGACACTTGAATAGACATAAGGGTCTTGAACATCTAGCTCTCACTGGCAACATTGAAGGCAAACGAGGCAGGGGTAGGCCCAGAACAACATACTTAGGGAACCTAAACAAATGGGTAACGGGGAAAGATCAGGGAAACGTAGCTTTTTTCAGAGCATCCGAGCAAAGAAATAAATGGAGAACCATAATCGCCGATGTGTGTCGCAGATCTGGCACTGGATGATGATGAAGGTTTTACGGTGCTCGCAACTGCATAAGGTCATATGAGCGCCAAGGGGTGGATGTCAACAGATAAGTCTAAAGGGGGGAATCAGGCTTACTCTGCTTACCTCTCTAGCCTCAACAGCACAAAGTCTGCTTCAACTATCAAGGCACCCCGGAAATAGTAGTTCACAAGATAGTGGCAAACATACAAAAGAAGTAGAAGAAAAATGACGATAGTAAGGATGAGGAAAGAAAAAGCAACAGTTCCCCCAATGTTGTTCGGGTACAGTATGAGCATGACATTAATAAATCAGCCCATTTACAATTCTACTGTGCATAAGAACATGTTAATATCCCCCCTTTGGGAATGGCTGAAAGACAACTTCAGACAGCGCACAGCCCTGGGGGGGGGGGGTTGAAATGTAGTTCGTGTGACAGGCTGAGGCCAATGAAAACTGCGACTGTTGCTAGCGAAGGCATGAAAGAAGGCAAGAAAGAACGAAAGAACGAGCGAAAGAACG